GTAGTTCCAGGAAGCCCCCCCCGCCTTTGTTAACTTTCGGGCGAGTGGGAATACCAGATACCGAACAGAATGCGGGTAGAAGCCTCCTCCCCCCCGGGGTTTTACTCCTTGGTAATATGTTGCTCCTTGGTTCGATGCACAATTTTGTTGTCAGCATTTTAGGGCTTTGATGCTAAACTGCTGAGAGCTTTCCCAGACCCCTGCCAGGAGCCCATAAGCTGGGCGCCGCGTAGTCGGGGGCCGGTATTCATTCAAGTTGCGGCAACAGCTGGATTGCGTAGATACAGAGTCTAGCAAACGTACGCCCAAAAGCTCATAGGTGCGCATTCGATCAACGCAAGGTAGCACCTGCAGTTTACGCAAATTGTTGAGGAATTCCGGTTTGTAAATCAACTACGCCATCTGTAGGCTGGGTGGCTGTTTGAGGTGCGTGCCGTAGCAGTACAAACGCAATCGACACTGTGCGGACAAGACCGGGATATAGGAGACCAACACTGGATGCTGCGGCTCTGTGTAGTGTAAGACCATATGGCTCTAGCGTCTACAGGAGTGCTGAGGTGATACGGTCGGCACTATTTTCGTTTGTATGATGGTGTGATTCAACACTGCGATGAAAGCAGCGACACTGTACGCGTTGTGGGCGTGCTGTGCGTCGGACCGTACACGTGCGTGCGTTGTATGCAGTCTGTGCTTAATGTGCACGTACACGTGCGTGCGTGTCAGTACAACCGTTGGCGTGCTTGGTCGTACGTACACGGGCGTGAGTGGGCGGCCGTTGGCACTGGTGCGTACGTACACGTGCGTGGCTGATGTGTGTGGCACGTACAAGTGCGTGCGTGGCACGCTACAAGGCGCTCGCACGGCTGATGTGATGGTAGACACTGGCCTAAACTACGAACTCGCTTAATAACGAAAACAACTGCCAAGTATGACAAAAAAAAATGGCAAAGGCGCCGCCTGGTCTGTGTGCTGGTAGTTATGTAATTAGTATGTATTTTAGCATGAAACCCGGACCCTAACCCTAACCCATTCTACTCCAGTCGGGTTATATATGCAGGTTTTCCGGGTCCGGGTCCGGGTTTTATTCACCCCCGGATGTTACCTTGCATTGCCATTGCCATAATACATTGTCATTGAGACGCTCCAACTTCCAAATGCCCAGCCACTGTAGGCCTACTCAGTACTGGATTAACGACGTACGACTACGAGTTATGTGAACGTGTGTGCATCTGTATCATGTACAACGATAAGGTGTAAAGTTGCAAAATTGAGCCATGTTGTATTTTATATATCCTAAAAACTGTGTCATAACAAGACTAACAATACTCACTTGCTAAAGTGCCAGGCAGCAGTTGCAGTGGTTTAGATAAATGTTTACACCGTCATTACAGGATCCCTATGAGGTCACAGGTCATGATTACACGCGCGCCATCTACCAATGTCTGTAATAATTAATAACGACAATCTCGTAGTTCTTCTCACGCATTTTCATAATTGCTTGACACCGCTCCATCCGTGCAGAATAATTGCAAATAATTGCATGATTAATAATAATTGCATGATTAATAATAATTGCATGATTAATAATAATTGCAAAGAATAAATTGTTTGCAAGCTCAATACCGATTTCAATCTATATTATAAGTGAGATGTTGGTCTGTGGCAGCATGTGCGTGCTGCCAAACAGTTTGTAATCGCGTGTGAGGGTGATGGGGTTATTTTCAAGGTAGACACGCAATTAACATTTTGGGATAAATAAATGAATTTAATTGTCTGAGAACAAGAAAATACCATGTAAATTTTCTTGCATCTGTGTATTCAAGTGCCAAGGATGACAATGGGGAAAAATTGGCAGTAAAGCGTGTAATGACTCACTCACATTTTTGGTTATAGCTGCCAAATATATCGCATGTGAAATCTAAATGCTCTTTGTAAACAGGAGTTTGTTTTATACAGGTGACCACGAATACAATAGCCAGCTTGCAGCCAGATTTAACTGTGTTTTATGTGTTTTTAATGAATGCCCCTAATTATGTGCCCTATACACAATTAATGCCCTATACACAAACATACATGCATCCTGTACATACTACATAATACAGACAAACATATTTACTTTGGAGGAAGAGAAGTGCTTTAATAAATTTTAAATATACATGTAGAGGCTGATAAATTCACAAGCATCGAACAGCTATCATAACCATAATTGAATCGTAAAACGCCCACAAACTGCAAACAGCCTTGCCAATGTGCATGAATATAGCAGCATACCAATAGTGGGAGATGGCGAGATTTTGGCTCAACTGTCTTTCTCTATCTCTATCTCTCTTTTTCTGTCACTCACTCACTTTCCCATTGTGAATTCTCCTATGCAAACATAGGCTTTCCTTAACAACTGTGCATTAATGAGAGGTGTGCATAACATATTGCCTAAGTCCATCGAAATAAGCAGTCGATAGATAATCATCCAGTTTACTTCGGCATCAGCGCCTCAATCGATTGCCCTGCCTCGAGTTTTTTCTCCATACTGACGAGAAGTTTTACTCCATCAACGACACACTGTACTTGCTCCACCTCAGAGCTGCCAAGCCGGTCAGAGTTGGAAATGTCATAGGTACCTCCAACTGATGCTGTATCAACACCTCCTGTAGAGTACAATAAAAGGGATCTTTATTTAGACTAAATAACTATAATATTATAACACAAATACACGTATATTACGAATATGCAAGGATACTATAAACTTGACTACGGGTTACTGTAGTTACATTAAAATTGTAAAGTATTACTAGACAGCAGCATTCAGTAACAGGGATTGGCTTGAGTAATGTAATATGTGTCACAATTGGTTTCTGTGTATCAACAATTGAAGCATTCGCTGTATAATTCCAATTTTTCTCATCTCAAAGTTTGAATAAATGGAAGCCCCCCCCCCACCACACACACATACCAGTTCCACGTTTCTGCAGCTTCAGCTTCTTCAGAATTCCATCAAGGCGCTTTTCATCCTCGCTAAGCTTAGGCAGCTTAACGTGGACACCTGCTCGTAGGCCAGTACCCAAGTTACTCGGACAGGTGAGAACGTAACCAAGGTGCTCATTCCACATTATCTCCTTGCCTTGCTTCTTCAGGGCTGCCTCAACCTGTACACATAAGAAAAGTGTTGCTTCTATATAACTCCCTTTGCAATCGTGCTTTCCTTTATCTGTAACCCACCCCCTTACACATACACTACTCCTTGTCCTCCCATGCTGTCTCTCTGCTCTACTCTGCTTTTTAGACCCAGTTATCTCCAGGTTATTTGCGATCACGTTTTACAGATGGGTTGACATCTTGGTAAATGGTCGGACAATATGGCATAGTGGCCAAGGTAGGGTGGACATGGCATGATGGACAAGCTGTTAACAATAAAAAAAAAAATTTTCAAAGCATGACATAAAAGTAAACCTCTAAACCCCTGGGCTTTCTTAAATCTGTTTTTCATAAAGATGGATGTTTCAAGATTTGCATCTACAAGCTCCCTTGAAAAAAACCAGCTTTTTTGTCTGTCCTCTCCCCAAAATGAAAAAAAGGTCTCAAATCCTTTCCTTGGTGTAGGCACATAATCAGTTATTTTTTCTTTGTGTAGATGCGGCTTGTTTGTTACACGATCGCTTAATCTCTCTCTTTTTTCTCACACGCTACCGATACTGCAGGCATCATGAATAATCTTTTTACCGTGATCCACATACCTTCTTTGCACCATTACAGAAGCGAGCAAATACTCTCTTCATATTTCCACCAGTCTCCATGGATATCAGCCTCATGTGGTCTTCCTCATTCACCCACACTAAAAATGTTCTTTTAAAGAAAATGATACTAGTTAGTAATCGGATTCGAATACAATCAAAATAAATAATAAACGGTATAAATGAAGCAACAATATGAAGAATAGTCAAATATATGAATAACACACTCATTAATGATTCACCCGCACAGATTGAGCTGAATCATTAACGAGTCATGCTATCGTCAATCATACTGACAACACAGATCTTAATTGGGATTACTGGCATGTCACTGGTCACGCGATTACTACGATTTTTTTGGATTTAGCACAATAATGCCCCGTACGTTTAATTTGTGTTTTTGACTGTAGCCTAATCTAACTCCAGATTTTCCAATCATTCAACTTATTGCAATATCAGTTCTTGCACAATTATGTAAGCATTTTATTGTTATTGTGGTCAACACTTGAAATTCACTGATCAATCACTATCAGGGTTCCCCCATAGGAATTTTAGAAAGCATGCTGGGCAATTAGGCAATTCATCCTTGATTGCTAACTAGAGCCAACCACGTGTGTTGTAAACAGCCCCAATACATGGGCCAAGCCCATTTGTTTGGAAACGAATACATCAAGCTATGAAAACAGCATGACTGTGTTAACAATGGGATAATAAAAGTAAAAACAGCTGGAATTAAAGGCATGCTGAATAGTGCACATCGCATTTACAGATATTGCAAATTAGCTTCAGCTTTGAAGGCATGTTGAAGTCGAAACCTGCCTATATTACATAGGGCCATAATAAAAATATTGTTTGTTTGCCCTCACCCGTCCGACCCGCCAAAAAGGGGCCAACTCAAATAAATTTCTTGATCTTTCCCATTATATTTTTTTTTACAAATTGTATCACTGTACATTATATAAATCTGTAGGCAATACATTATATCGAGAGCGTATTAAGAAGGAGAGCGTACAACGGTGAAATGCTGAAACCACGTTGCAGTATTATTCGAATTAATAAACTTTCCCCGTTTTATTTTGACGATTCTTTGTGGTATTATTGATCAGCTCTCCTACCTTGCTAATATAAAACAAACTGTTTGTCCCTACAATGCCTCTATGCTGAGATAATTAGCGGTAAAAATCTGGTAATTTTGCCAAAAACCGACTCGAGATACATAGTGGCTGCGACTGTCTCTTGTTCTGGCGATAGCTTCGGGAAACCTCGCGTGTTTCTGTCATTCATTGACAATGAAATTTATTTTCCTTCTACTATCTTTTCTCGCATTTCCAGTCATTGACGGAGCCATTACTCCACAAAAACGTCTTGTTATTTATCGCCATGGTGATGACCCGCCCTTTACGCTGGATGTAGTTGTAACATGCGTTTTACAGATGTACATAGAATAGTCAGTAGAGTTAGACTAGGGGTTGTTTTAGTAATAGTTTATCTAGACACAGCGTCTAATTATGGCAACAGAACGTTTATCATTTGCATTATTTTTTTATTTGAAAACACTACGTACTATATATACGTTTATAGCTATATCAGCTAATATCACTATTCAAAAGAAGAAAATACCTAACAATTATGAACATGAATGTAATAAAATTTGAAATAATAATGTCAAATGATTCGATATCTTATGTTATCGTCCATTGTTTGAATATGCATATATAATTAAGCCAGTACTCACAAAATACTCATAATCGCGACTAGCATACTAACAAATATGCGGTGCATGTAGTTTACTGTCATATTAGGAGTAGCATAACATACTTGTCTTCATTGTGCCAAATGCCACGGGCATCTGGCCAGTCTCTAGCCATTCCAGAGCAGGTGAGTAGAGGAGACACAGGCTTGTCAAATAGGAAGTGATTATCAATGAGAAAGTCTTGTTCTTCTGGTGTCATTCCATCCAGTGGATAGTACTTCCCCTTAAATTCTCCATCCATGCCAGCTAGTGCTATACGTAAACAAACAATGGCTGTTATAAAAGGATCTCGATCGATCTATAAGCTTATATAGTTAATCATTATACAACAAACAACAACAACAATCGTTTTACAGCCGTTTTCCATGCTTATGCTGGGGTTGGCCGGGAGCTCCCCATGATTAGTAATCATTATAGATATTACCCTGATATTACCTGTTAAGTACCATAAACTTCTCTAACACACAAACCACAACTGGAGAAGAAAAAAGAGTGTGCAAGGCTTAATCATTGGATGTTCACTAGACCTAATCTACCTACAATTTATTCGGATTAAATCCAATGAGCATGAACTCAAGACTGCTAACCATGAACTTTAAACATTCACCTAGCATATAATTTCATTAGTTTTCCTATACACACATTCACAATACGTAGATATAGTCTACAATGCACGACACCAATTTTTGACAAATTTCACCATAAAATCGGTGTGATGCTTTAAGATAACTCGGTTTAAACAAGTCGCTGTGTGTATTGCCAAAAATATTCATCAGTGATGTCATAAAATCCGGACTAGATTTATTAGTGGGACTTTGTGGCCACAACAAACAGTTAAATCTGTTGCCCTGAAACCTAACACAGCAATAACCAAACATGATCCTTGACAACATTTTATTCTTCTTTTAAACAGCAACGTTTCTGACAGTAACATTAGTGATTACTATTATGCACCCTAATTATGCACGCTCTCAATTCCCAGGTGGACTCGTGCTACTGGTAGTGGGAGGGGACATATCCAAATGTAACCAGCTGTTGCTATATATATTGCAATATATATTACAAGTTACGAGTCTTTAGCTGGGTTCACACTATAAAATTTCTTTTGAAAAGTTGACGAGTTTATAAACGTTTCAACTAATCGACCAAAGTTGATCGCTGAACTAGTTGCTGTCAACTAGTCGAAAGATTAGAACATGTTCTAATTTCTCAACTTTTGGTCAGCGAGTTGAGCAACTGTTTGCCATGCAGACACTCAGATAATAGAAATCAGGAGGTGTGCCCCGCCACCCAGAAGATAATTTCCGCGCCTGTTTTTGCTATCGGCTGCACACGGGTTACGCCTGGTGTGAAACAATACATGCAAAACTGCGTATCCACGACTACGTCTCCCCGTGTGCACATTGCGGGTGAAATGTTGAAACGTTTACCGACTCGTGGTCGATAATGCAAATGCTTTGAACATCTAATAGAAAGTTTATTAGAACGTTGAAAAGCGTATCAACTCGTCGACTTTTCGATAGTGTAATCCCAGCTTTAGTTGTGTTGTTCGATTCTCCCAATGAACCACATCTTGACCACATCACAGTAGTATCTGACATCACTGATGCACAGCTATTACTGAGCTGAGCGGCATATAAACAGGCTCAAGAACTGTTTTAAATGGATTGCACATTGCTGAATTTATGGCGAGTTTTATGATGCTTGGTGAATGTTTAAGTTAAATTATGAGCTTCTAGGTTTCTCGAATTAAATGTAATAAATTGTAGTTGCATTAGGGCTAGCAAACATTGCATTTCAAATAATTAAGCAAATTCACTCCTGACCTTATACATATATGCACATAGCTTCACTATGTATAAATATGTAGGTTCACTATTTGTAATTGTATGAATAGGTTTATCATAAACCAGACATATAGGTCTACGTATGTAAACAGCAGAACTAGAAAATTTACATTGAAATTACAATAACTGATTTCCTTGCTATCTATTGATCTTAAATGTAAATTCATTCATCCATGTTCCTCTTTGAAAGCGCACTGAGCTTACCAACAGTCACGATTTTCTCCACAGCACGCCGCTCAGCACGGCTGCAATGCGGAGGCAGGCAAAGACCTCTAATGCTCCTTCCAGTGCGAACGCGAGAACTCAGAACATAAGCAGGATCCAGATCTCCTCCCTTAAGATCATCTTGATTCAGGTTGGTCTTGTGCTTGGCTTTAAAAGTAAGGTTCAAAGAGTTACTTAATTGAATCTAGATATAATATATCTTGTCCATAAAATTAGGGGGAATACTTACACAAGCCTATAGTCACCTGGCAGCTCATAAAATTTACCAGACCAAAGTTTTTCTTTACAAGGCCAAGCATGAACTACGCCCTATATACAGCAGCCTACAGCTCGAACGGTCATTTACTATAGCCTCATATGGTGAGGCTGTCTTCTGCAATTTTACCCACCTACCCCTGCAATACCCCTTGCAGCTGGGCAAGTCAAGGACTTTACACCTTACATCCTAATTTATTCAAAACACTGCATTGCAAACGTAGCAGTTCTTAATCGATGCAGGATTTGAGTGTAAATAAGTTAAAAAATTTGTTAAAGAAGCCACCTACCATCTTTCATGTAACCGTTGTGGCGCTTTTCAATCACCGGGTCAAACAAGTCTGCGAACACATCAAATGCCTCCTCGTCCCCTGCTACACAACCAACCGTGTAGATGTAGGGGTGACCTGTGTATGAACAGACACATGTACTCAGGGGTAGAAAAGAACTTTTGAACAAGCGAGTACCTACCCTCATTTGCGGTGCACGTCTGCCAAATTTTCTTGGGACATTTGCTAAAAAAATACGGTAATTCCGTGAGGCCGTGCTCTGGAACGAACTAATTAGTATAGCAGAAATTTCAGGGAGTCACACGAACTCAGGACTGCATATATGTCAAATCAGGGAGTACAACAGTAAATCAGGGAGTATTTGACACCGGACACGCATTAATTTCGCACCCTGCGCCTTTTCCGCCCCACACTGCATTTCACATCCCTTCTTAACTGAGCTGTCACTCTCTCAACCATTCAAGTCTTCTCACTGCCCCTAGACACTTCTAAAAAGTCATGGGCGAATTGTCAACGAAATCCAGAGACATGACATTACAGGCAGAATACAAAAATTCTATTGCCGAGTCCATAAAAGAAATATTCTTTTTAAAATAGACTAATATTCTCATATTTTTTCCGACTACTACAATATTTACTGGTATTGATTGTGTAAGAGCAAGTGTCTAAAGTACGGCTTACATGTCTCAGAACATTCATACATTGTTATTTTCATAAAAACAATACACTAGTTTAAATCTGTTTGTTTACATCATGTTGACACGGTAACATGATAACACTTGTTTCTTGTGAGACCCCGTCCCTGTACTGGAAAAATGGTTTACTATAATTATTTAAGAGTTTGAACCTGTCTAGAGCCACTACATCACTCAATGAAATGTACATTGTCTGGTAGATACAGATTTCACAATACAACGTGCCTGCATTACAGTGGAACCCCGCTTTTACACGCCCCGACTTAACGCGAATTCGGATATAACGCGATGAGTCGTTGGCCACCTTTTTTTGCTCTTATATAACCACGTATATATATAACTCCGATTTAGTTCGGCACTTTATCCGACCCCGCTTTTTTCGCGATGACATTTTATGGACTCCAACCATCGAGGTATAATGGGGCTATACGTATACTATTTGTTTTTTATATAACATATATAGCAGCATAAACCAATGGTCATTTTTATACTAAAGTACTCAGTAACATGTTCGCTCTTATGTAAGACTATAGTTTGCTATATTTTTCTCGATTGTGATTAATGAAATGATTCCTTTTGACATTGGATTCCGCATTTGGAATAAAGATATTTTGTTACCGTCATCATATATATATACACTATATATATACTTTTATTTTTAATTGCTGCAGTCGTGCTGACCACTTACAAGTTACATATATGTATTAAAAAATCATCTTCATTTACAAAAAATTGTAAACATATTTTCAACCTGTGCCATGTGCCCCTGACTGTGAGTTAGCTCCGAGAAACGGTCTTGCGCTAGGGTTAGAAGACCAATCGACAATCGGTCGCACAGCCTGGTCGGGCTATATATACCCTGTGAGTGTGATGTTCCAGTACTTAGCATTTATTGAAAATATTTTATATGTGGGATCCACATATTTTGAGTTAGCAAATGTGACACTAGCTGATCGGATGAACTTTATTGCACAGGTACGTGTACGCCAAATGGACGGCAGCTTTGCCTGCACTACAGCCTATAGCCGTATAGGTGTTTATATTTCACATTGTCATTATGATTTTATCATGATTTTATAAGAAACCATTTTTGTGAAAAGGCATATAACTTACATATTAAGTTTTACTTGGAACTATGATACATTAATTTTCCGCAATATTACGACAGAACGCGTTTCCGATGCTCGGAGGAATATAGCCACGTCGATGGGCATAACATGATATAATTAGGCCTATTGCATAACCGCAGGCGTGGCACACCAGCTGCCATCATTTTTAAAACTTTTTGACATGGCCAAATCCCGCAACACGTCATCACGAAATTACCAAATAATTACATGCATTGAACACAACTGATCATAAACCGATTAAAGGCAGTGATAATACATTGGTATATAGTTATGATTATCTTAGTTTATCTGGTTATATTTAGCGGTTGCGTAGAGGCCTACCTGGATTGTCAACGCCGGTTTGGATGGCTTTGTCAATAGTGAATCCAGACGGCGTTCTAATATCTCTCAGCTTAGCATAGATAGCTGGCGTCAGACATTTTGCCATCCAGTTACTGTGCTTCGACAGATCTGGGAAGTCTTCGCTCGGGTCAAATCTGGATTGAGTCTCGTTGAGTGTTTTTACGCTTTTCCCCGTAGAAGGCATGATGGCGGGTGACTGCTCCAAATCTGGAATTCGACTGCAGTGAGAGCGTGCGTGACGAAATACTTTATAGCACCGCCGTGCCATGATTGGTCGCCTCAGAGCATAACGTCATCCTTTACAGGTTAAAGTGCAGATTCCTGCGCGCGCAGAATATTTTTTAACCTACATTGACATTGACAGATTTGGCGATGCGCATTAAAAAAATAAAGTAAAAATAATATATTTTATAATTTATTTATTTGTCTCGTCACGAGCAGTTATTAGCAGTTATGATTCATACGTAGCCTAATGACATCAAACCAAATATATTTCTAGTACGTGCAGTGGCAAAGAAATATGTGCATGGGCACCGAAATTTATACTAATATAGTTATACGTTATACGAATATACTAATATATA